GGTGATTATTGTGATTTAAATTAGAAATAATGTAAATACTCCCAGGTTTTTCTTTTTAATGTAAATTCCATTTTAAGTAGTAGGTTGGTAGAGGTAGAAACAAATTGTGTGATTTATCATTTCAAGTTACGTTTCATAGGCCAAAAGATGATTTTTTTTTTTTTTTCAAAAGATGGTTTTAAGAGTAAGCACTTAATCTGGAGCCCTCTCCAAGTTCTCCCATTGGCCATTCATCAATTTCTGCAGTTGTCGCATCCTTCTCAATCTCAGCCCTCTAGGACTCAGTCCCAGACTTCCCATTCTACATTATGCAGTCTCATTCTATCCTTCTATTGACTTTGCATAAAAATTTGATCCAGTCAAGATTTCTTAAAAAGCTGGAAATAGAACTGCCATATGACCCAGCAATCCCACTTCTGGGCATACACACTGAGGAAACCAGATCTGAAAGAGACACGTGCACCCCAATGTTCATCGCAGCACTGTTTATAATAGCCAGGACATGGAAGCAACCTAGATGCCCATCAGCAGATGAATGGATGAGGAAGCTGTGGTACATATACACCATGGAATATTACTCAGCCATTAAAAAGAATTCATTTGAATCAGTTCTAATGAGATGGATGAAACTGGAACCCATTATACAGAGCGAAGTAAGCCTGAAAGATAAAGACCATTACAGTATACTAACATATATATGGAATTTAGAAAGATGGTAACGATAACCCTATGTGCAAAACAGAAAAAGAGACTCCTATGTATAGAACAGACTTGTGGACTCTGGGAGAAGGCGAGGGTGGGATGTTTCAAGAGCACAGCATTGAAACACATATATTATCTAGGGTGAAACAGTTCACCAGCCCAGGTTGGGTGCATGAGACAAGTGCTCGGGCCTGGTGCACTGGGAAGACCCAGAGGGATTGGGTGGAGAGGGAGGTGGGAGGGGGGACCGGGATGGGGAATACATGTAAAAAAAAAAAAAAAAGATACACTATGGTTGTGATAAAAAAATAAATAAATAAATAAATTAAATTAAAAAAAAAAAAAAATTTGATCCAGTCAAATGCTAATCTTTAGTTCAGACCTCTTTCTGGAGTTTAGTCCCAAATACCTGACTAATACATACCTCTCCCCTGGGGCCTAAATTTCCACCTTCAATATACTAATACACCAGTGCTTCAAGAATTTCTTCCACTCATACTTATCTCTAAGGATAAAATTGCCTCAAGTTACCACGCAGTGAAAATGGAACTTGCTCTTTACTCCCAAACGTAGTCAACATCAGTTTTTCTCAAGCAATCGTTCAGCCAGTTAAGTCAGAATCTGGGCAAATAATTCATTCTTCTCTCATTCCCCATTTACAACCCTTCAATTATCTCTGTTACTTTATCTTATAAATATCCTCTGCTGCTGCTGCTTAGTCATTTCAGCCTCTGTGACCCTAAGGACTGCAGCCTGCCAGTCTTCTCTGGCCATGGGATTCTCTAGGCAAGAGTATCAGAATGGGTTGCCATGCCCTCTTCCAGGGGATCTTCCTGACCCAGGGATCGAACCCGGTCTCCTGGCATTGCAGGCAGATTCTTTACCACTGAGCCACCAGGGAAGCCGCTTAAATATCCTCTATTTGAATATCAACTCTACGTTACTGTTGACACTACCCTAATCCAAGTGAACATTTGTTGTCATTACAAAATAGTGATCTGTCTGCTACAATCAGAATGTTACTCAGCTCCATGCCTATCCTTTTCCAAACATGGGATCAGGATCATCTTATCACAGTGAAAATTGGTGGGTCATGGACACACCACTTGTTTAAAATGTTGAAATGACTTCCCAATTCTAGGACTGGAAAGAATATCCCTAGTGTGATCTGTGAGCACTTGCCTAATGTTCCAGCCACATTTTGTTCCACTCTGCCTAAGACTCCACTTCTTCATTTATCTATTTATTTTTGGTTGCACTGTACCTTCATTGCTGTGCAAGCTTCTCTAGTTGCAGAGTGGGGGCTACTCTCAGTTGCGGTGCACGGGTTTCTCGTGGTGGCTTCTCATTGCGGAGACGAGCTCTAGGGTGAGCAGGCTTCAGTAGTTGTGGCTTAAGGATTCCAGAGCCAACTCAGTAGTTGGGGCACACGGACTCAGTTGCTCTGAGGCATATGAAACCTTTCTAGACCAGGGCTCAAACCTGTGTCCCCTACAGTGGCGGGCAGATGCTTTTCCACTGTACCACCAGGGAAGTCCCAGCCTAAGACTCTTAATACCATCCCCCACGCTCACCGCCAACTTTGCTCTCTTTAACATTTCATAATTCAGCTCAAAACTCAATTCCTCAATTCAGACTCCCACCGAAATTTCAAATTTGTTATATATCAATAATTTCCTGTGTTTTTTATGCATATTTATCTCTTAATAAGATGAATTCCCATCAATATCCATTTTGACCCAAGATCAGCAATGTTTACATTTATTTTTTGTTTCTTTTGGGCTTCCCAAAAGGAACCAGAGGAACAGATCAAATTGCCAACAACCACTGTGTCATCGAAAAAGCAAGAGAGTTCCAGAAAAACATCTATTTCTGTTTTATTGACTACGCCAAAGCCTTTGACAGTGTGGATCACCACAAACTGTGGAAAATTCTTCAAGAGATGGGAATACCAGACCACCTGACCTGCCTCTTGAGAAATCTGAATGCAGGTCAGGAAGCAACAGTTAGAACTGGACATGGAACAGACTGGTTCCAAACAGGGAAAGGAGTAGGTCAAGGCTGTATATTGTCACCCTACTTATTTAACTTATATGCAGAGTACATCATGCAAAATGCTAGGCTGGATGAAGCACAAGCTGGAATCAAGATTGGCCAGGAGAAATATCAATAACCTCAGATATGCAGATGACACCACCCTTATGGCAGAAAGTGAAGAACTAAAAAGCCTTTTGATAAGATTGAAAGAGGAGAGTGAAAAAGTTGGCTTAAAACTCAACATTCAGAAAACGAAGATCATGGCATCTGGTCCCATCACTTCATGCCAAATAGATGGGGAAACAGTGGAAACAGTGACAGACTTTATTTTTGGGGCTCCAAAATCACTGCAGATGGTGACTGCAGCCATGAAATTAAAAGATGCTTGCTCCTTGGAAGAAAAGTTATGACCAACCTAGACATCATATTAAAAACCAGAGACATTACTTTGTCAACAAAGTTCTGTTTAGTCAAGGCTATGGTTTTTTCAGTAGTTATGTATGGATGTGAGAGTTGGACTATAAAGAAAGCTGAGCCCTGAAGAATAAATGCTCTTGAACTGTGGTGTTGGAGAAGACTCTTGAGAGTCCCCTGGACAACAAGAAGTCCAACCAGTCCATCCTAAAGGGAATCAGTCCTGACTATTCATTGTAAAGACTGCTGTTAAAGCTGAAACTCCAATACTTTGGCCACCTGATGCGAAGAGCTGGCTCATTGGAAAAGACCCTGATGCTGGGAAAGATTGAAGGCAGGAGGAGAAGGGGACGACAGAGGATGAGATGGTTGGATGGCATCACCGACTCAATCAGCATGAGTTTGAGTAAACTCCGGAAGCTGGTGATGGACAGGGAGGCCTGGTGTGCTGCAGTCCATGGGGTTGCAAAGAGTCAGAAACGACTGAGCGACTAAACTGAACTGAACTTGGGCTTCCATGGTAGCTCAGCTGGTAAAGAATCCGCCTGCAATGCAGGAGACCCCAGTTCGATTCCTGGGTCCAGAGAATTCCCCTGGAGGAAGGACAGGCCACCCACTCCAGTATTCTTGGGCTTCCCTTGCGACTCAGTTGGTAAAGGCTTGGCTCGAAATGCGAGAGACCTGGGTTCAATCCCTGGGTTGGGAGATCCCCTGGAGAAGGGAATGCTACCCACTTCAGTATTCTGGCCCAGAGAATTCCATCGACAGAGGAGCCTGGCAGGCTATACAGTCCATAGGGTCCCAGAGTTGAACACTATTTGGCGACTTTCACTTTTCTTTTGTTTCTTTTGCTAGGCTGCACCCTCTATGAAAGCAGGACCAGGCCGTCTCTATTTCGCTCACTCTAGCATCCTCAACTCCTAGAACAGTGCCTAGCACACAGAACTCGGTAAATAAATGTTGAATGAACGAGTTATTGAAGGAACTGCTGCTGCTGCTGCCGCCTCGATTCAGTCGTGTCCGACTCTGTGCGACCCCATAGACAGGAGCCCACCAAGCTCCCCCGTCCTTGGGATTCTCCAGGCAAGAACACTGTAGTTGGTTGCCATTTCCTTCTCCAATGCATGAAAGTGAAAAGGGAAAGTGAAGCCGCTCAGTCATGTCTGACTCTTGGTGACCCCATGGACTGCAGCCTACCGGGCTCCTCCGTCCATGGGATTTTCCAGGCAAGAGTACTGGAGTGGGTTGATTGAAGGAGAGATACCACCAGAAGCTTCTAGGGACAAATCTAAAATAATCTAAAATCAAGCTAGCTTTTTATGAAAAAGTTAAACAAGTCCAATCAACTGAAGTAGCTTCTCCAAGAACAAAAAAGGTAGTCTGTGGCAAAACTGGAGTTCCTTATTGCTGTTTGGCATGAACACCAGAATCTGTGACAAGCCATGCATCGTGCTTTGATTTTTTTTTTCTACTTTTGAGGCAAAACGGGGACAACTCGCATTGTAACACTTTCTGATCTGGTTCGGCTTTCTTCACGTTAAAAACAACCAATCCCAGTATGCAATGCAAACAATGAGTTAACAGTCGCTTAGAAACCACATATCCCAGAATGCCATGACCCCGAGCAATCTCGGAAGTGGGTAGAGGAGACGCCACTGCATTCTGGGAGTTGTAGTCTCAGGGCTGGCCCGCCCCTTGTGCTACTTCGGCGGCCTACGTTTGGAGGAAACCCTACTTGGGTGGCTTAGCGCGGTGGGGGCCCTAGAGGGCGGTTCCGCCCAACAAAATCTTCGCCTCAGGCCCGGTGGCCAGCTCCGCCTCTTCTCGTATCTTTCCCACAGCCCAAAATGGCGGCGGAGGTGGATTTTGGCGATTTAGAGCTGTTCGAGGCGTTTGACCACCCAGAGGACTCGACTCCGAAGCCCGTTCACACCCGCTTCAAGGACGACGACGGCGACGAGGAGGACGAGAATGGGATTGGCGACGCGGAGCTGCGGGAACGGCTTCGGCAGTGCGAGGAAACCATCGAGCAGCTCCGCGCCGAGAATATCCTTCCCGCTCGCTGGGCCCTGTCACCGGGGCGTGTGGTGGGGCCCGTGCCGGTAGGGCGCGAGCGGAAATTCCACAAGGGCCAGAATTCAGCCTTAGAATCTAGGGTTCGGGTTGCATAAGCTGTCCTCGAGGCCTCGGCACAGACCTCTCCCCTTGTGGGATTCGTCTCGTAGACCTGATTCGCTTCTCCCGTCCGCGAGTCTGAGGCGGGATTTTAGCGGTATTACTGACTGTTTAAACTGTTCAGTTGTAGACTGTTCACTACGTCTCTTCCCGTCCTTTGAGTCATTATCCGGTCTCCTTTTTTGGAACCAGTGTAAAGTTGATGCAGTCACGCTCTGTGGTGTATTAGGCGATACCGGCTACTTTGACCTGGGCGCAGATGTGTCTTTAAGGCGGGGCCAGTTAGTGGTTCTATTCTGTGGAGTTGGGGTCCCTACGGAGTCGAGGCATGCACAGAGAAATGGTTCATTGCCTGATGACCACTGGGGATTCATTTGAAAGTTCTTCCACTTTGAAACAGCTTCCGTGTGGAATGTGCATTGCAGAGCTCCAGGGAAAACGCTCCCAATAAGTTTCCGTTAGACTTTAGTTACATGTCCACGGCCTTTCTAACAAAATGTGTTAATATGTTTATATGTTCTTAGAGGGTGTTTGCGGGTGGGGGTTAACTTATTTTTAAAATTTTTGTTTATTTTTACTGAGCTTACAATTTTGGTTCAGGAACTTTTTTCTAGTGTAAGGTTTTCGAAGCCTTTTTTTTCATAATGCCTTTTTCCTGGACATTTTATTGTGGAAGATTTCTAAAGACAGAAAAGTTGAAAGGATTTGGCGGTGAACATTCATAGATTCCGTCTTAGATTTTTCAGTTCTTAACGGTTTGTTATGCTGCATTTACCTTACTGAGTTATCATGATGCTTTTGACCTGGAACGTTTTAAGTGGCTGTTTAACTTCTGACTGTACACTCTTGTCCGAATAGCATTTTTGGTTTCAGTCTCTTAGTCTCTTTTGAATTACATGACCCTATCTTAGAAATACCGTGTTGGAAGGGTATGTACTTCAGCTTTTTAGATCCAGGTACTAGTCCTGCAACAGAAAAGGTCAGTAAGTGTGTCATCCTCAAAATGTTTGTCTTTTAACTTTTGTAACATATTTATAACATGTTTATAACACTGACATCAAAAGTGAGGTTAGTGGTTGAATTTTATGATCTTATTTCTGTTTAATGAGGGCTATACTCCTTAACAAGTAATAACATCAAGAACTTAAAAGAAAATTGAATATTTTGACTCGACCAAGGTATGAGATCTTGAATTTGCACTATAATGTACTTTTTATTTTGTCCTGATATTAATATTTAATCGCAGGTTTTGGGTTTTTTTTTTTTGGAAGTATTTGGGATTTTTGTTTTGCTTGTATGTGTTCCATATACTCTGAAGAAATCAGAGTAATGATCCTTTATTTTTAATTTATGAGGGTAAAATTTGAATTCTCATAACTGCATTGAACTTTGAAACTGACTGGGTGAAAATACGTGTGAAACACAAACCAGAAATTTTTTCTTAATCTTCAGAATAAGTTATCTTCAGGCAAGTTATCAACCTATTCACGTTTCTATTCAGTGAACATTTCTGGGAAGTTAGAATTCAAATTACAGTATTGATATAGCTGAAGATTTATTTATACAATTAAAGGGTGTCTGTAAATAGAAACAATGCAAGATATATTTTAGAAGAAGAGAAAGGAGTTGCTTTTGAAAAAAGTACAGTGAGTAAATTTGCTTTCAGGCATCTAATTTTAATAGATAATTACATGTTGATATTTCCTTTTTTATGTAATTTTATTTGTTGGCTAGCTGGATCTTCATTGCTGCACAAGCTTTGGCTCTAGTTGGAGCTGCTGCTAAGTTGCTTCAGTCGTGTCCGACTCTGTGTGACCCCATAGACAGCAGCCCACCAGGCTCTGCCGTCCCTGGGATTCTCCAGGCAAGAACGCTGGAGTGGGTTGCCATTGCCTTCTCCAATGCGTGAAAGTGAAAAGTGAAAGTGAAGTCTCTCAGTCGTATCCGACTCTTAGCGACCCCATGGACTGCAGCCTACCAGGCTCGTCTGCCCATGGGATTTACCAGGCAAGAGTACCGGAGTGGGTTGCCATTGCCTTCTCCCTAGTTGCAGGGAGAAGGGACTACTCTCTAATTGCAGTATGCAGGCTTCTCGTGGCTTCTCTTGCAGAGCACAGCCTCGGTAGCTGTGGCAGCTGGGCTCTGTAGTTCCCGGACTCTAGGGTACAGGCTCAGTAGTTGTATCGCACAGGCTTAGTTGCTCCACAGCAAGTGGGGTCTTCCCGAACGAGGGAGCGAACCCTGTCTCCTGCATTGGTAGGTGGATTCTTTACCATTGAGCCACCAAGAAGGCCCCAATTATTTCTTAGTTTGTGTTTATTTAGTAGCCACTAAATCTAAAATATTTATTAAAACATTTATTATACAGAGTGGTATGCTAAGGCTTTCAGACTTTGGGGTGCCATGATGCAGTTTCACATGGAATTTTTTATCCCTGGTACCAGCTGAAGTAACCTGCTGCATTGGTGACTAAAATTTTAGAATTTAGACATATTTCAGAATATGTCTAAAGAATAATTTCTCTATGCCCTACCTTCCCTATCTATGTGAGCACACTCTGGATCTACACTTGTTTTTGGTTAGGTAGTAAATGTATTGAATGTGAGTAGGATTCCTAAAAAAATAAATCATAATTTTTATATGTGTAGAGATATTTTATTTAGACAAGCACATGCTTTGTAATAGAGTCAATCATTTGAACATTAAATATTTATAAGTGGGTTAACAATCACCTGAGTTTAAACGATTATAGCATTATAGGCTTTGCCAATTTATAAGGAAGCATTAGTACCCTGAAAAAGGAATAAACTATATATTTATTTATTTAGAATTAAAGTTCTCCACATTGTGAGACTGACAGAACTTTCTATAGAAAACCAAGGAAGAAAAAAATTTAGATAAAATTTGTACCCCATTTGTCTTGATTTAACCCTCATTTTTGGAACTTGCATATCACAGTGTCTCCCAGTAAACATTGTGAGTTGGTTTTTGTTGTTGTTTCTTTATATGATAAAAATTTTAAATGTACAGAAAGTGGAAAGAATAGTATAATTAATACTCATTTTTATCACTTAGATTTCACAATATTTTGACATATTACCTTCCTTCTAATTCCATATACATATTTTACCCCAAATATTTCAGCATGTATTCTTTTTTCTAAAAACTTTCATGTATTACCACAATGCCATGATCGCACCTAATAACTGGCATGATTTCCTTAATAACATTCTCAACCATATTTGGATTTCCCCAGCTGAATGCCTTTATCACTGATTGCTCAAACTGAACGCCAGTCAAGAGTCACACAGTTGCATGTGGTTTTTAAAAGCATGGTGTTTTGTTTTGTTGGATAGTTGTATTTATTTATTTACTTTTGGCTGTGCTGGGTCTTCGTTGCTGTGTGGGCTGCTCTAGTTGTGGTGTGTGGGCTTCTCGTCGTGGTGGCTCCTCTTGTGGAGCATGGGTTCTCAGACGCTCGGCCTTCAGTAGCTGTGGCACGAGGGCTCAGGAGTTGCAGTTCCTGTAGCGCGCAGGCTCAGTAGTTGTGGTGCGTGGGATTAGCTGCTCCATGGTATGTAGGATCTTCCTGGACCAGGGATCGAACCCGTGCCTCCTGCATTAGCAGGCGGATTCTTTACCACTGAACCACCAGGGAAGCCCACAGTGTATTTTTTTTTTTAAACTGCAGTTTTTGCAAATTGAAACAAGTTTCTGGATGTCTTCATATTTTAATTTTATTTCTCTACTTGATGTGAGCAGTCGTACAGATTGATTGATTTCGCATGCTGTACAGGTACAAGGATTTGAGGAACGTGTGGAGAAATCAGATACAGCTGCTCCCAGGTTACCAAAGGAATATATAGCAGATTTCAAGGCTACAGTCTAGTTCTATTTTTTCCAGTATTTGAAAGTCACATCCAGGAATAGTGTAATTTTACATCTTTACTTTAAAATTTTGGATCTGGGATGTTTAGTGCAGTGTTCTCTGCCCTCCAAAAAGTCTACCCATTTATTTATAAAGTGTTTCCATTTCCTACATATTGCCAAGCCAAATTCACTATGATTCTTTCAGAATTTTATTCTTTGTAACCTGCTGGTTTACTCAGTTCCTCCCTCTCCTCAATTTGTAAACAAACAGCCATCAGGTAAAGAAACTTTCTGGTTGAAAACTGAAAGATTGACTGCAGCTTTTAATTTTTTATGAAATATTTAAAATATATATGTAAAGTAAAAGATAATCTTTATAAAATTATTCAAGTATGCAAAATTGGTGAAAACCGGAGTTCCTGGTGGTTCTTGATCTTGTTCGTAAAATATTATATCATCTTTGGTACTTAGAAATGATAAAGGTTCAGTGTTTATATATACATATGCAAGTTTTATTTTAATGTCTTCTAAGAATATGTTTTAACTTCTGTTTTAGTGGAATATTGGTGAACAATACTAAGTTAGATGGACCTTTATTACAGATTCTATTTATGAACAATGTTATTTCAAAGTAAGTAATTTTTTCTTTCCTAAATATTATGAGCTAATGTGTTTATGATACAGTGTTTGTATAAATATGCTGTTTTCATCTGTATTTATACCATCTGTATTCTTTTACTAAAAATTTATGGAATCATGATAAGAGCCAGGACTTTGCAGTCATATCAACCTGAATTTGAATCTGGCTACCTCTGCTTTCTAGTAGATATGTGAACCTGGAGAGGTCACTGACCCTCTCTGCATATCAGTTTCCTTACTGGAAAACAGGACCCTAATAGTAACTACCTTTTAGGTAACTAAATGAGCACCTGTAAGAGCCCAGTGTTGTTATTGTTTAGTTTCTAAATGGTGTCTGACTCTTTGCAACCCCACTGACTGTAGCCCACTACATTCCTCAGTCCATGGGGAATGGCAAGAATACTGGAGTGGGTTGCCATTTCCTTCTCCAGGGGATCTTCCCTACCCAGGGATTGAACCTGCCTCTCCTGCAGCCTCTGCATTAGCAGGTGGATTCTTTATCACTGAGTCACCAGGGAAACCCAAATAGCCCAAATAGCTGTCTAGCTGCTAATAAAAGTCACTGCTACCACCATTTCGCTACCAGAATCAGGGAGCTGAGTCTTCCCTGTTGGCTATGTTCAAAACTTACCACGTGATTTTTTTTTTTTTTAATAGCAAAACTAGACCTTGCTAGTCTTCAGTATTCTTGGGTCTAGGATGTCTCAGTGCTTTCCTACGATGCTTGCTAGAATGTTCTGAACTGGTTTGAGGCCTTGACCCATGCCTTGCTTGAAGTATGGTCATAGACATTTCAGATGGTTGCTTGCCCCCTCCTGCGTCACATGTTGTCATGTCTTAGACGCTGTGCAAGGTAAAGGGAGCATACTTAGGTGTTACCTGCGTGGCTGATCCATTGGCTACTTTATTTCACAGAAGTGGAACCTGAAGCTGTGTGGGGTGGTACAGCCGGTGGCACGGTGCTGGGCATGTGGGACTCCAGGGCCACTGTCACCATCAGAGGCAGCCTCTAACTCAAGCTCCTGGCAGACCTTTTTTTTTTTTCTCAATTCAAAAAAAAATTTTTTTGGCCACACTGCATGGCATGTAGGATCTCAGTTCCCTGAACAGGAATCAAACATACACCCCCTGCGTTGGGAGTGCTGAGTCTCAATCACTGGACCACCAGGAAATTCCCTCCTGACAGTCTTAATGTCTGCACCACTCACCTGAGGTTGTGCCTGCAGAAATCTTAGAATGTCAGGGCTAAAGAGACCTAACAGATCATCAAGTCCACGAAGAGGAATTTGGCCCCTTGGCCCCTTCTGAACTGAGCACTGAAGAGTATTTGATGAACATGGTTCTTGACCTGGAGAGCTGGAGAACATAGACCTCGGTCATTTTTCTTGCGTTGCATTTTGGTCTTTTTTTTTACCTCCAGTGTCATATTTACATAGGTGTTGCCTTGTGTGTGCAGAAAGAGTCTGTGGGAAGAGGCTGTGGAAGAGCTGAATGCATTGATTGTGTGTGTGTGGCAGAAATAAGTGGCTGTGAGACAGGGTAGGAAGGGGGCTTTTTGTTATGTAACTATTTTACTTCTTTTGAATTTTGAACCATTTCCATGTGTTATATATTTACAAATTAAATTTGTAAAATTTATAAATCCATGTAGTCTTTGTGTATCTGCCAGCTGTTACATGCTAGGCGCTATGTTAGATTGTCATCATTGTATTGTTAACTTGGCAAAAATGGTTTGCTTTTTTTTCCCTAAAGAATAGATTAGATTGTTACATACAGTCAGTGATTTGATATAAACTCTGAAAAACAAAATAACAATATTTACACATGCCATCTTCTAAAAATGCATGACTTCAGTCAAGTCAGTGTTTTACTCTGTCTGGGTTCTGACCATTTTGTCCTCTTATGCAGGCAATATCATCAAGAAATAGAGGAATTTGTATCAAATTTAGTAAAAAGATTTGAGGAACAGCAGAAAAATGATGTGGAAAAGACTTCCTTTAATCTTTTGCCCCAGGTATTTCAAACTTAAGAGACTTTAAGATTAGTAGGTTATGCATTTTACTGCCAAGTATTAGGCGGCTCCGGGGATCCTCTTGAATCAAAACCAGAATGGTTGTTGAGGTTGTCTGTTCACCTTCCATCCTGCAACCTGGCTTCCTCTCCACAATCTGACCAATGCAGCCATGGGGCTTTCTTTTGGATTGTGATTGCTTTTCTTAGGGAATAATATTCACACCTGGCTACACTCAAAGCCTTTCCCCCTGCACCATTTCCTAACTTGGACCCATGGTTTGGGGCAGAAAATTAATTTTAGGCCAGGGAAAAACATCTCTTTTTCTGGGGACTATAAAAAAATGGATTTTCTTTCTTTCTTTCTTTTTTTTTTTTTTTTACTAAAATGAACAAGTTCATGTATCATCCTTTTTTCCCCTCTACTTGTTTTAAAAATCAGTAGCATGCCCAAAGAAATCTGAGAGATTACACTGTGTGAATATTAAGGCATAAATTTATCTCAAGAAAATCAAGATTATGATTTCTGGGCTTTTTTTTTTTTTAATTAAAAGTTAAGGTAAGTAGAGGCTCTCAAATAAGGATCTCTAGCTGTTTATCCTCAGAGGTTGGAGAATGGAATATTCTAGTTTACTAAATTTTTGTCACCTTTAGTTTTCATCTATTATATATAATTTTTTTAAAGATTCAAGGAACAGAATACATTTAACAATAAAAACCATACTGAATGTTATTTAATTTTTGATTCAAGAAACACTTCAGAATTTTGTGCCTTGAGTATCAGCATTGACCAGCAATGACAAGTTTATATTTTTAATTTTTTTATTATCTGATTTGAAGATAAAGCCTGTCTTGTCAGTTTAAATGTTGAAAGTTCCATAATTAATATTTATTAACATAAAAGTCAGAGTGTAAGCTAATGCTTCAGAAGATGCTATCTTTTATATCTTTTTTTAACTTTCCCACTTGGGAAATAGCTTTCATAAACTTTCCTATCTAGCTTAACTTCTCACTCCCCCTAATTATCACAGCAATGAATTCAAACTTTTATATACCTTAATGGTATGTATTAGAAAATAAAGTGAATGTGTTCAGATTCAATTATGAAATTTAAAGTTGTTAAAAATTGTTTAGCTTTTGTAACTTGTGTTTTTCTTTGTGTTAGCCATCCAGTGTTATGCTAGAAGAGGACCATAAAGTAGAAGAATCCAGTTCCGTTAATAATAAGGAAGCTTTTAGTGTAAGTTTGGACACTTTAGTTTTGAATTCTGCAGATATATTTCCTATCCTCTGTCCATTGGGTAGCATTTAAATGGTAAACTGATGTAGTCGCTTGTCATCTAATGATCACACATTCTTTCATTAAATCTGTTGTAAACAACAGTGTAGGCTTCAGCCTTCTAAATATTATAGTTTGCTTTTTAATAACTATTTCATTGTGACCTAGGAGTACAATAGATACACCTCAGAGGACTTTATTTTTCTCCTGAGTATCCTCTCTGTTCATTCTTTCTTTTTTTTAAAATAGATTTTATATTTTTTAGAGCAGTTTTTAGTAGATTTTATAATTTTAATAGATTTTATATTTTTTCAAGTTCACAGAGAAATTGAGTGAAACATACAGATATTTGCCACGCCTCCCCTGCCCCCACACATTTATAACCTCCCCCTCTATCAACATCTCCCACCAGATGGTACATTTGTTACAATTGATAAATTTGCAGCAACACATCATTATCACCCAGAGTCCATGGTTTACATTAAGGTTCACTTTTGGTGCTGTATGGTCTATGGATTTGTACAGTAATACGCATCTACCATTAGACCTTC